TATATATATATATATACACACACATATGAATATCTAGGCTTTCATAGATACTTGTAATTCTTTGATTTACATATTTTTAGCCTAATTTCATCTCCTTTATTTAAAAATTTAAATATACATCTGAAAATAATTTTGTAGAAATTATTAAAATAATTATATACGACGTCCAAGCTGATTGTTAAAATATCAAAGCCTTTTGCAGGATTGGTCATTGTGCTTTCTTATTTATTTCTTAATTATTTTAATGGTCCAACGAAAATATTTTCAGATTTGTATCTAAATTTCTACATTAGATATTTTAGCAAAATCATCCTTTTCATATAGAAAACATATTTAAGAGAAATTATAATAGATACATGTTTGTCGTCTGCGTACCTCTCTCGTCTCTTCCCATATGAATCCAAAAACATATAGCACAACGATACCTTCAAGAGGAGTAGGGGCCGCGCCTCTCTGTCGAGCCAAGTAAGCTTCGAGGTTTCTCTTCATTTCCTGGCTACCCAAGAATCTAACGATTTCCACTTCTGCACGCTGCGATACTAGCATGAGTACAACTACAAACAAATACGTAATATGTTAGCTGTTGGTTAGATAATGGCACTGATATTATTATTTCAAGATTCAAGTCTTATCTGTTTTATAATTAAAGCTATAATGTAGCTTACACAAAAAGAATAAATAGGATGACGCGTGAACCAAGAATTTCATAAAAGGTCTTCGCATAAGCTGTCCCGTTTTTGATCCCGGCATTAGATAATACATGATACAATAAAATGGAAATAGAACTGCTGTCTTTGCAAGAATGCCGACTCTTTGCAGAGTTGACATTCTTCGAAATCCGGGAACCCCTTCGTACCTTTGGATAGGATGAGATATTCAAAAGTGTTTTTAAATTCATTTCACAAATTATGTTTTTTGTGAAACAAAATATGAAACATCCCTATCTCATACAGCACATTTTATTCAAGAAGTGTTCTGGAAAGATCCTTAGGATGTTCTTAGGCCGTTCCTCACCTCATCTGTGCTTTATGAAATAGAGTCCTTGGCTTACCAGATTGCTGCCAAGAGCTGCTGAACGTGAGAATGCGAGACGAATCTTTTTTGCTTATACTCTATAGCTTGTTCCAGACGAGCCAATTGTTTGCTAAGTATGGCATTTTCTTCTTCTGGATCGTAATTTAAGATGGTATCTAATTCCGTGGTAGTCCGGACGTATTGCAATAAATCGACAGCGAATCTATTCGGAACAATTATAACTCTTGATTAACATTAGCAGAATCAAGTGTTTCTGTACTCTTAAAAGAATGAAGTGTATAATAAGGTAATATGAAAATAAAGAAAGTAATAAAAATGTTTCATCAATATATATATGTAAAAGATAGACTTATTGAAAAATCAAAAAATTTCAGAATCTTTTTTTTTTTCAAGGAATATAATATTAACTTCCCAGAACTAATGTCAAAATCTATAGCAACAATTACTAACGCTATAAGATATATTCAATTTATATTAATTATAATAATAAAAAAACACTAATTAATTTCAAGGAATCAAAATGACATATATAAATTTTCTTTTAGAGGAGATACAGCATTTTTGTTGAAACAATGAATAAATAGGAATTATTAATTATTAGTCAGTGCGTGGTCAAAGTTAAGTTACATTTCTACGAGATGTTAATTTGTAATGTTTTCGAGAATTAATTATGTGTTGATATAATTATATTACTAACCGAGAAAAACTAAGTAAGCCGAAACATTTTATATTTTGTACAATTATGACAAATTGAATATATAATAATATTAATAATATAATAATATATTGAATAAATTGAATATATAATAATTATTTTTTATAATTGATCGTTATAAACCATTAACCAGTAATTTGCTTTATAATCTCACACGAGCCTGTTACCTTATAGATTCAAAGTAACTGATTTGACATAATGGTTTAAAAAAGAATAAATACTAACAATATGTTAATAAGAATAATCCAATTTATATCTTTGTAGATATAATATAAAGAAAATTAAATTCTTTGATATTTTTGATAAAAAAATTTATAATCGAAGATTTCCACCATCAGCTCCGAGGGTTAATCTAAAGAAACGGTCAATTATGACCGTTTGATACTTTTAATTTTACATACAATATATAATCACATTTTGTGAAACAAAAATACTTACTTTTCTACCTGCCGTCGTAGTTTTAAGTATTCGGCTCTACTTTCAGGTTCCGAAATGGCCAGTTCCCTAAGTTCCCAACTTAATTGGAAAGCTGTCATTAAAGGATCTGTCGAGCTCAAAGCTATTAAACTTGGACTTGCTAAAGCCTTATATTCGGAAATTCTAGTAGATGACAGACGTAACGGATCGCCTAAATCGTAATTCTAATTAGAATGTAATATAATTTTAATTATATTACATCTTCTATCAGCAATTTCTATATTGACAATTTATAATATTTTTCTAATATCTGTATTTTCTAAAATCTTCTATTAGGAGACGAATTAAATTTATCAGAATATCTCTCACCGATGGTTGCCTGAAGACAATCGTCACAGCCACACCTCACGTCATGCGGCATCGGCAAGGTAGCTCCTCGATCCAGTAAAAGTTTCAAAATTTCATAATTATTGCGTTGTGCCGCGAGCATCAATGGTGTCATGTCCGTCGGATATCTGGCTGATGCTGGATCTACCTTCTGCCAGCTGTGTATGATCTGCTTTTCGGCTGTAATTAAAGTGTGAAGCATACGAAAGACAAATAATAATTCTAATGCAAATAAGTTCTAATGCAATTTTATTTTCAATAAAATTAAAATTGTTTATTTTATAATTTATTTATAATTGTTTATTTATAA